GACCTCAACCTGCAGACGGAGACGGCGCGGGCGCTCGGACTCACCAGCATCACGGTGCTCATCGATGTTTGGAAGGCGTTCGAGATGGTGGCGCCCGCCGTCCTCATGGCCGAGGCGGCGGCGCTCGATCTGCCGCTGCGGCTCACCTGGATGCTCATCTGCGTATGCACCCAGCCTCGCTTCCTGCTCGCCCACGGCTCTGCCCCCCGCGTGGTCAGCACCACGCAGGGCATCGTGGCTGGATGCGGCCACGCCACCGCCCTGCTGGCCGTGCTCACTTACCGCGCGGTCATCCGAGCTGGAGCGTACTCCCCCGCCGTGGTGCCGCGGCAGCTGGTGGGCGACCTCTCGCTGGCCTGGTCTGGGTACCCGAGCCGGGCCAGTGCCCAGCTCGAGCCGCCCCTGACGGCGCTTCTGGAGGACCTCGAGGAGCTGCGCCTCCCCGTCAACGTCTCCAAGCTGGGGCTGGTCGCGAGCCACGCCAGGGCGGCTCGCGCCTTCCAGGCCAGTGCCCGTCGGCTACGCATCAAACCCATGGACTGGATGCGGAACTTGGGCCACGAGCTCGCCGGGTCGCGGGCGCTGCGCCGCCAGGAGCACGAGCGTGTCCGCCGCGTGCTAGCCAGGCGCGGGCGGCTGCGCATTTTGCGCGGCGCGGTTGGCCTCAAGGTGCGCAAGCTCCAGCGCACGGGCCTCGCGCCGGCAGCAGCGCACGGCGCAGGAGTCAGCGGCGTCGCGCCGCAGGCCCTTCGGCAGTTGCGCACGCTCGCCGGCCAGCTCGCCGGGGCCAAACCCGCCGCCAGCCTCACCATGGCGCTCGCCTTGCAGGACGACGCGCGATTCGACCCCCTGTACGCGGCCACGCTCGACATCGTTGGGCGCTGGGCAGCCTGGCTGCGGGACGGACGGGGGCAGTTGGAGCCGGTCTCCCGCGCCTGGCAGGTGGTCTCCGCGGCTCTGGAGGCGCGCCCTTCGTGGGCGGCCGTGCGGGGGCCCATGGCTGCCGTCCGGCTCTCCTTGCAGCGCATCGACTGGGCCATGCCCGCCGTCCACGCCATCCAGTCGGACCTCGGCGTGCAGTACGATCTCCTGCAGGAGGCCCCGCGCGACGTGCTGCGGTGGGTCGCCGAGGGTGTGCAGCGCTGGCAGTTCCGCCAGGGAGTCCGCCACCTGCCCGAGCACGACGGCGAAGTCATCTGGGCGCGGGCCGCGCGCAAGTGCGCGCTCGAGCCGACGCGCACGCCCGCCGAGCGGGGTGCCTTGCAGACCCTGTGGTCGGGCGGGGCCTGGCCGAGAGCTCGGCGGCGCGCTGAGGGCCTGTGCTCATCCGCTGCCTGCGCCGCCTGCGGGGCCGCGACCGAGGACCACCCCCGTCGCTGGTTTGTTTGGCTGCGCGCCGCTGCTGGCCGCCCCAGACGAGCAGCCGCCCGAGCGACGCGAGCGCGCTCTCGCGGTGCGGGAGGCCATCATCCAGGAGTGCGCCGCGGGCTTCGGCGGTGCCAGCTTGGACTCGCTGTCGAATGTCTATGGGCTCCCGTGCATGCCCACCCTGGCAGAGCTCCCCGAGCCCCCCTGCCCGCCCGTGATTCGGTGGGGCGATCATGCGGGGTCTCGGCGCGGCACCGTGTACGCCGACGGGTCCGGGCACGCGGCCGACGTCACCGAGCTCACGCAGAGCACGTGGTCGGCGGTCCAGATCAGCGACATGGGCATCCCGTTGCGAGCTCTGTGTGGTGCGCTCCCCGGGAGCATCCAGACCGTGGCGCGGGCTGAGCGCTGCGGCGGCGCCATGGCCTTCGAGGCGGGGGAGGGCGTCGACTGCCTGGTCTCCGACCACCTCTCGTTCGTGACCGAGGGTCTGCGCTGGAGCGCCAGGGGCGCATCCTCGCGCGGCACCCATGCGCGGCTTTGGCGACGGCTACGCAGCGCCATTGCGCGGCGCGCCGACGCCGCGGCGCCCGACTTTCGCTGGGCCCCCTCTCACCTCACAGCCGAGGAGGCGCTCCACCGCGGAGTGCCGCTCATAGACTGGATCGGCAATGCTTGGGCAGACTGGTTCGCGTCGGTGGCCATGTAGCAGGTTTGGCTGGCGCCAGGGCTCGCGCGGAACCTCGAGCTCAGGCTCCAGCGCGTTCTCAGCGTCGTGGAGTTTCATGTGTGGGCCTCCGTGCAGGTGTACTCATCGGGCCTCTGGGACTCGAATGAGGCGGCGATGCCCAGGCCGCCCCCGGCCCCGCCCAAGCTGACCATCATCCAGCACGACTTGCACTGGTGCCCCCACCCTCGGTCCCAGGACCGCCAAGGCCTTGTCTGCCTTGCCTGCGGGCGCACGGCCTACACCGAAGGCACCCAACGGGCGTTGGCGGGGTCCGCGTGCGCGCCGACCACCCTGGGCCACGAGCGGGCGCTCTCCGTCCTCGGGGTTGCGCCCACAGCAGCAGGCACTTCGCCGGCGGTGCCCCCCCCGGCCACCTGTTGCGCCGACGCCAGCGTGGCCAACGGGAGCCAGCGAGACGCCAGCCTCCAGGCCAAGGTGGATTATCTCCTCCACGCCGCACGCGCTGCCGCCCCCGCCGTGCGGGCCGCCGGCGCGCTGATGCCACGGCCCGCGGCCGGTGGAGATTTTGGCTTGGATCGGGCGCCCGCGCCGCCCGCGCCGCAGTCCGCGGCCGCTGGAGATTCTGGTCTGGATCGGGCGCCGGCGCCGCTGCCGCGCCGCTGGCTGGTGGGCCCGCCGGTGGAACGGTGGCAGAGGCTGGCGGACCGCCGTGGCAGGCCGCGCGATGATGGCCCAGCAGGCGGCCGCGGCTCGGAACCCGAGGATGATGACTTCGCGCCGCGCCCCGAGGCTGGCCCTTCTCAGCCGGCTGGTCAGGGCCCCGTGCCTGGCCGTGCTGCGCGCGAGGGGCAGGGGCGTAGTCAGTCTCGCTCACCGGCTCGCGAGCTCGACGCCGGGCCGCACCCCGACGCTGGCCCCTCGGCGCTGCCGCCCGCCGATGATGGAGAACCTGGCGCAGGGGGCGCGGGCGCGCCGTCCGCTCCCAGCCCGGCGCAGGGGGCTGCGGTCTCGCACCTCGTGGGGGCCCTTGTGGTGGGGGCGCTCTCGGCCGCGGCCGCGACCTGCGGGGCCGATGGCGCCGAGGCGGACCCGCAGCCGGACGCGGCGCCTGGCGCAGGAGAGGAGGCGACCCCCCCCGATGCCCTCGCGGCGCACGACGGCGGGGAGCAGGCCGCCGACGGCGCTGACGCGCTCCGCCCGGCGCCCAAGCGCCCCAAGCGGGCTCCACGGCCGCCGCGCGCTGGCCCGATCCTGGCGGCGCTTGGCCCGATGAAGGAGAGGCTCGAGGAGCGCGCCCGAGGTGCGGAGGCGCCCGCGCCTTCGGCTGCCTCAGCTGGAGGTGATGCTCGCCCTGCTGGTTCGGCGGAGGCGGCGGCGCCCCGTGGCGCTGCCTCGCAGGTGCACGTGCCCGGTGACGCCGAAAGCCACGGCCAGCAGAAGCCGAGCGCGAGGTCTCGTGGCCGGATGGCCGAGTGCGGGGCCCCGGTGAGCCGCCCCGCCGCGCGACCTGCCTTGGACACGAGCGGTGGCGCGGCGTCCGAGGGGGCAAGGCCCCCCTCCCGCCCACCTGCTCCTCCTGCCGCTGCTCTCGCCCGCGGGGAGGGGGGGTCGTCGTCGGGTGGATCGTCGGGTGGGGCGGGCGTCGGGTTGGGAGAGAGTGCGAGCGGCCCCGCCGGCGCGGGTGGTCCGCCCGCGTGCGTGCAGGACCGTGGCCACGAGCTTGTCACGTGTTCGACGTTCGTGGTCTGCCGTCGCTG